CACACACCATGGAAAGAATTACTTTTCTAAAAGTACATTTATTTATGTAATTCAGTACACGCATTTTATGCTTTATTATACTCAAACCAGAAGAAGCTGTGTTGCTATAAAGAAGACATCAACTATATTTGTCAAAGATGATATACGCTTACACAAAAATCAAATATAATTAAGACCATATTGCAGTGAAACTGGACTAAATCATCTCTGACAATGGAAAATTTGTCCATGTGGTTCTTCTGTCTTTATAACCAAAGCATTATTTTCTCCAGCTTTCACTGTGATCAACATGTCCAGATCGTCATGTTGACAGGCTGCAGTGTAAGAAAGATTTCCCCCGGCGTTTGATGTGCAGCAATTAAAGTTTAATCTCTACATTAGTCCTGTGCAGATCTACAGGGACCTACAGAAACCTTTACGTGATGCTTCTCTTATAGTTGTAATTGTATGGACAACAAAAGGGGGGAAACGTTTTAGAAAATGTTACTTTATCTGGCATCCAGTGCTGGAAGAGACTAAGCCAAGATAGGCCTGAGAAAGACAAACATAACTTGCGTCCAACTACAAGTCAGCCTGTTCTGAGGATTTCTGCTCTTGGTTCTCAGACGTGAGGATCTGACATACTTTTCAGCGGTACGTAAAATGCAATCTGATAGTTCCCTGAGAATTGGAGCAAAACCTGCCAGCCGAAGCCACAAAATTACGTACTTTGCTGTTGTCATGACTGTGTGTTTAAAACAAAAAGGCTACCCTCTCCCTCTCAATCCCCTCTGCATCACTCAACTACTTTTTCCCCCGCAGCTTTGATTTCATAATATCCAGCTGGAGATCTGATTATGAAATTAGAAATACCCTGCTGGGACTGAAAAACTGAGAAAAGGAAGGGTGAAAAAGTCAGCCGCTGTCGCTTTATTTCACCTTTACCTTTTTTATTTTACTTTTTCCCCCTTTGTCAGCTGATCAACCATACTATAGCAAGCAGTTCAAACAATAAACACGAGCCAATGCTAAAATCCGTTAGTAGTTAATACTTTGTAAGTTCAAATGAGAGAAAAAGATTTGCAACAAGACCCCCACATCCATTCCTCCCGCTCTCTCTGTGATCCATCTTGTCATTTTAATGGCAAACCAACAGCCAAGGAACATAACAGAAATTCATTGGGGGGTTGTAGCTCAGTCTGGTCTGCAGTATAGATTATTTTACCATCGAAAAAAATAAATATCTTCTGGTGTTTCCATTATTTATACCTATGCTCCAAACTGAGCACAAAGACACTGACAATGCTCTCGAGCTCTGTTAATTTCTCTTCGTACTGCATTGATGAGGGTCCATTACGTAGTGGAAGTAAATTACAACTACCCTCAGGTCTGGCAGAGGTTTATGAGCTGTCACTTACGCATCATAAGAAGCAGATGTGTTTAGATTCTGTGTTTGCTGTGAAGGACAGACATGTTATACTCTGATCTCTTAAACCTGACGCTCACGCTGCTTTTCCAATCAAAAGATAAATAGAATAAACTCTGTTTCCTCTTCAAAGTGGCTGGCCTGACATTATAGCATCTCTCCACACCATCCACAGGTCCTGTGTAATCTTTTATAGCTATTGTGACAGACTTATCTTTTCTTCTTCATCCAGATAACTTGGCTAGACCTCTCAGGCTCCTCTCCATACATATGTTTCAAGTCATGACCAAAATCCACAAATTACTGAGAAGCTCTGTTCTACTATAATATTGTCTGGGGCAAATATTGCAAGGTCATGCCAGAATATCTGCTTGTGTGTCATGTATGCATGCAAGTTTCTCTCTGTGGCCTACTGTCTCACACAAGCTCTCACATTATTATGTTATGATGTGTTTATGGAGAGAGGAAAGCGAAAAAGCTAGAACACAAACACCAAAAGGTCAAGTCACAGCTACTTTATGGTCATTTCAGCCAATTTAATGTAGTTAGGGAAGTTATTAGTTAAAGTGCAGGACTGGAAGAACAGAGCAGCTCAACCATGAAACTGCTATTGGACAAGCTTGGATTATCTAATGTAAAACTGCCATAAAGACATCTATAGGAAATTAAATTTAAAAAAATTAAATCAAAGCATTTTGTTTTAAATGCACCATTTAAAGTAATTTCCTTCTGCACATCGATACGACTTCAGATGCTTCTGCTAGGTTTAGTTCTTTCCCTGGAACACAATCATCACCAAGTGCACATTTCCATTGAACTTGCCCAAAGAGAAAACATCGAGTTAAAGGGAGGGCTGGGTCAAACTGACCCACTGAGAATCACTTGTGATGACGGATGATGAGATAAGAGAGCTGGGTCTGTGGTTACGAACCAGAATGTAAACTGCCGTTTTCGGAATCTACATCCTGAGACATTTGAGGTAGAACCTTTACTCCAAAGTACTGGAAAGCGTGACGGTCATTAAGCCGTCACGCACTGGCACAGAGTATTGAGTCATCGCTCGCCAAATTTGGCTCTTTGCAACTCTGTCCTGTTCCTCAAAGGAAATTTAAGCTTAAGGGCAGATGAGATCCAGCAATCAGTGCAGACGGGCATGTACAGCATGCTAGTGCCCTGCTAGAGGTCATTTTGTAGAGCTCATCCTGCTCCCTATTGAACAAAGGGGCAGATACCGTCCCACTGATGGGTTTTGACCTTCTACAGCCCTGTCCAGCTCTCCTAGAGTAACTGCCTCTCTCCGTGCTCTTGAGACCGTGCTAGGAGACACGGCAAACCTTCTGGCGATAAACCAAATATTGATGTGCCGTCCTGGGGGGCTGGAGTACCTGAGCACCTCGTGACACTGACTTTAGCCAAATGCAAAACTAGCAAATACTCAGAATAGATGAGAAGGGAAAAAAATGATAGTGGCCTCCACCCGTGTCTAGTGGACCTGTTGTTAATTTCATTAACACTAAAACAGTTGAAACAGATTAACAACCCCCTCTGCTACTTAACAGACCAGATCAATATCCCAGATGTTTAATCGAGTTCATGCTATACATCGATTAAAAACTTTTCCTTTAATTTTTTGAGGAGCGTAGGTTTGGGGGGGAAAAAAAAGGCAAGATTACACAACTTAAGAAAAAAAAAGAAGTAATTTAACAGTTTCCCATTTGGCCAGTGAACAGAGCGAATTGGCAGGAGTGCCTGAACACACACGCTTGGTTTTTTTCCTCCATCATGTGTCTGTGAGGAGGGGAAGGAAGGTTGACAGCACTGGAAACTCTCAGTTCTGTTCAAGCTTGGACATGTGCTTTTTTTTTCAGCAAGTTTCCTGAAACAAAAGCACAGTGAGAGCATAAAAAGCCTTACCAGTCCACTCTACCACCTGCCAAGATCCTGCTGGGTCACTCTACATATGGTACACTACGGCATTCATCACCCTCTCAGCACGCCTCTTCAATCAGGGCAGTGGCTCCTTTCCAAATGCCTCCTCTAGTTCACTTTCCCTTCGTTCCCACTTCACGTCAGTCTGCAACGGTACTTCACAACAAACCAAACACGACAGACAAAGCCTGCTGCTACTAAGGAACTTCCGTCTGTTCTTTTCCCTTTTTCCACTGCTCAAACACAAACTATTTGCAAGACTCAAAAGGGCATGTTGCACTATATGAAGCCTAATTCATTAAAACGTGGCTTGCTATCAGGCCAGAAAGGTTATGAGCTGTTAGAAATGCAAATGTTGCACATATGTCACAGCAGGAGTCAGACTAAGCCACGTTACAATGTGCTTGTGGTCTGTATGCAGTTTTTATAAGATCACTGCGGTCAACCTTAAACATAGGTTATCCATGTCTGTCAGGAAAGGGCCTGACAGCCAACAGGGGCAAATCATGAGGTCTAACGTTCACAACAGAAATGGTGTGCAAG